TGTGGAAACACCTGTCCAGGCAGAGTTCTGCAGTCAGCAAAGCATGCGTTTGCTGATTACGGATCTGTTAGGGCTCGTTAACACTTGATTTATTTCTAACTCTTGCCAAACGCCCCTATAGCGTTTGGGAAGCATTTTTAACAGGTAGCACAGTGGATAAATGGTTAGCACTTCCACCTGGCAGTACTAGGGTCATTGGTTCGAATCCCAGCCATGGCACCACCTGCCTGGAGTTTGCATGTTCTCCCTGTGCCTGTGTGGGTTTCCTCCCACTCTCCAAAGACATGCTGGTAGGTTAATTAGATCCTGTCTAAATTGGCCCTCATATATGAATGTGCGTTAGGGACCTTAGATTGTACTCCCCTTGAGGGTTAGGGACTGATGTGAATGTACGATATATAGCACCGTCAATTTACACAGTGCTTTACATATATAAGTACCTGAAATAAATAAATGCTCCCCAAACGCCCTATGTGTGTTTTTGAGGCATTTGATAGGCGTTTGCCAAGCGTTAAAACAGCACCACAAACGCCTATAATGAAGTTAAATGGTACTAACACTCCGCAAACCCTTCGCAAATGCCTGCCAGGCATTTGAGGAGCATCACCATAGACTTGAATGGGAGGCTTTGACTCCACATGAGGCATCAGTTTTGCCACAATGCTAATGCTTCAGTGTGAACAGCACTGTGTGCTGCCATGTGCAGAATTTTCAGAGGCGTTTGAGAAGCGTTAATAATGCTTCCCAAACGCCTGCTGACAAAGCTAGTGTGAACGTAGCCCAAGTGTGACTTGCAGGGGCATGTCGGACTTCTGCAGAGAGACCACTGCTTCCACACAAAGGTTCTTTTTTTTTTCTGCAGCATGATGGCAGGTGACAAATATTTCTACTCAGGCTGTGTCTGAAATCCAACTGTAAGACTGCACACCTTTGTTTTCGATGTACCTGTGATATATTTAATTAAAACCAAAAGTTCATTTAGGCTTTAAGATGCCCTAAGCCTGTGATTTCTACAATAACTGTGTGGATCAGATGAAATACATGCGCTATAAGGCATCTGGTATGAGAAACATGTGACTTGTAAACTGTCGTTTTTTAAAACATCAGGGCATAATGTTAATATTGGTGCGTTTGGTGACCTGCCACATCCTAGACGCAGAATAGCTGCTCATTCATTGGATGCAGAGAGAAACAAGCGATCAGAAAAGGTATTTGGGAATGCATAAATAACGCAGTATATAACCTCCAATTGCTCAGGGTTTGTTTTGACATCCAGTTAAATTCCTGCTGCCAGCTGGTCCTAAAAATCAGATACCAAACAGAAAACACATGTTGCATTCATCAGACGTTCAAGCGAGCCTCGTTCTGCTAGGAGAAGCAGGGCGGTTAACAATATGTTGCAGGCAAATATGAAAATTTTACAGTTAGAGAAAACTTGTTATGAGAAAAATATATAAATGGTTAGCACTTCCGCCTGGCAGTACTAGGGTCGTTGGTTCGAATCCCATCCACGACACCACCTGCCTGGAGTTTGCATGTTCTCCCTGTGCCTGCGTGGGTTTCCTCCCACGTTCCAGAGACATGCTGGTAGGTTAATTGGATCCTGTCTAAATTGGCCCATGTATGTATAAATGTAAGTTAGGAACCTCGTACACCTCTTGAGGGTTAGGGACTGATGGAATGTACAATATATATGTAAAGTGCTGCGTAAATTGACAGCGCTATATAACTACCTGAAATAAATAAATATAGGGTGGTCATAGCTGACCTCAGAGGTTACCAATTCTAGTTGCTTGTCATTCTGATGCCGTGGCTTTAAGCTGATCTCAGGGAACACAATCTTTAATTTTAAAGATATTTCTCAGCCATCTAGAAATCTAAATCCTCTTTTTATGTACCAAATTCGTTTAAATTGTCATAGGTGGACCAGAGATCAGTTGGCACCACATCCCATATAACACATGCTAACCAAAGTACAGAGAAACAGGGATATTTAAGGTGCTCAAAAACCTTAAACATTTAGTGTGGTATTTAAATCATGCAACATTTTATTTGTTACAATTTATTTGTTGCAATTACAGTGGGGATCGACAGTTTGGGCACCCCAGCTAAAAATGTGTATTAATGTGCATAAAGAAGCCAAGGAAAGATGGAAAAATCTCCAAAAGGCATCAAATTACAGATTAGACATTCTTATAATATGTCAACAAAAGTTAGATTTTATTTCCATCATTTACACTTTCAAAATAACCGAAAACAAAAAAATGGCGTCTGCAAAAGTTTGGGCACCCTGCAGAGTTAATATCTTGTACTGCCCCCTTTGGCAAGTATCACAGCTTGTAAACGCTTTTTGTAGCCAGCCAAGAGTCTTTCAATTCTTGTTTGAGGTATCTTTTCCCATTCTTCCTTACAAAAGTCTTCCAGTTCTTTGAGATTTCTGGGCTGTCTGTCACGCACTGCTCTTTTAAGGTCTATCCATAGATTTTCAATTATGTTGAGGTCAGGAGATTGTGAAGGCCATGGCAAAACCTTCAGTTTACGCCTCTTGATGTAATCCCCCGTGGATTTCGAGGTGTGTTTAGGATCATTATCTATTTGTAGAAGCCATCCTCTCTTTAACTTCAGCTTTTTCACAGATGGCATCAAGTTACCATCCAAAATTTGCTGAAATTTTATTGAATCCATTTTTCCTTCTACTCGTGAGATGTTCCCTGTGCCACTGGCTGCAACACAACCCCAAAGCATGATTGATCCAACCCCATGCTTAACAGTTGGACAGAGGTTTTTTTCATTAAATTCTGTGCCCCTTCTTCTCCAAACGTACCTTTGCTCATTCTGGCCAAAAAGTTCAAATTTAACCTTTAATCAATACATAGATCAGTGTTTCTCAACTTTCTTTCAGTCAAGGCACCCATTAAAATCATGGACAGTTTTGAGGCACCCCATTCTAAAATGTGAAAAACTATTCTAATAGTTTTATATAACGCAGCAACATCCACACATCTAGGAGACCCAACATTAGAGGTGATTTATCCTTCCAAAACAAATACACTTTTGCACACTGGTACTGACTAGTATTTCAATGTTTCTTCCTTCCCTCAGTTTTTCTCCATCACTGAGTTAATGTGACGCCAGCACTGATGGAGAGGGGTGGGGGAGGGTCAAACTAGGATGCTGTGCAGGCAGCTGATATCCTCCTTATCAACTGATGATGTAATTGGTTGTCAGACCGCTGGTGGCTAGAAAGTCGTAATGGCACACAATGAAAACCTGTGGCTTTGTGTAACTAACAGGCGGGCTTGTTCCACCCACTGACTTGTATACAACTTTTGGGCAATTTATAGAAATTTTGCCAAGGCACCCCTGAAGAGATCTCAAGGCACCCTTGTTGAGAGAGGCTGACATAGGTCATCAATACATATTGATCAATGCACATACGGAGTATTGGCTTTTCAGAGTTAACCCAAAAGGGCTGTTCTTACCAGGTGTGTTTTCATTCAAAGAAAAATGTAATAATGTCATTTGAATGAAAATACACCTGGTAAGAACAACCCTTTCAAGTTAACTCTGAAAAACCAATACTCCGTATGTGCATTGATTAATATGTATTGATGATCTATGTATTGATTAATATGTATTGATGATCTATGTATTGATTAATATGTATTGATGATCTATGTAGTGTTTTTGTATAATTGTTAAATTTGATTATTGATATCTTATATCTTTTCCGAGTGGCAAATATATACAATAATCTGTAAATCTCCTGAAGAAGCCAAAAAATTGCTGAAACATGTCGAGTGGGAATTGTTGCATTGTTAATTTTGAGCCACATGCAGTGCCTTGTTGGTTTTAAACTTTCACAACTATAAATGTGATGTAGTTTGTGATATATTGTAACAAATATTTTGCATGATTTTATTACAACACTAAATGTTTAAGATTTTTTGAGCACCTTACAAATCCCTGTTTCTCTGTATATTGGTTGGTACCAAATTCTTTTGCAAATCCAGATATTGTAAAAATATCAGTGACCTCATCGCTGTTCTGTACATAGCCTGTTTAGAGCAAAGCTATGGGAGGGATCCTGCAGGCTCCACCCACTTCAGGCTGCCTGCAGAAAGCTACGGGAGGGTCAGAGGAAAGCCTAGTCACCCTGCACAAGGGGAGAGAGCAGCAGTGACCTTTATTACATAAAGCTCCTGCATAGGGACAGCATTAAACATTGGATGACAGCACTCATCTGGAATCTGGAGTTCAGCTTTAAAGCTTAACTCCAGAGACAAACAAACTCTTTCCTTGCAGTGGAGCTTCTCCCACAATGTGAGGATTAGGCCCCTTGCACACAGGGCAGGGTCCATTTGGATCACCAGGGGATCTGCACACAGACACCCTGCTGATCAGAGCAGAGTATGTGGATGTCACATCCCTATCCCCTCAGTTTCAGCTGAGTGGACATGGACAGAGGCCGCTCTGCTATATGGGCGGCTGGGAGTAAATGTATTCCTTGGTTCATTTACTCCCAACTACACTCCACTGCGCCTAAACGGAAGAGGACAGATTTCCTTCATTTTTCTTTCTTTTTTTTTTCTTTTTGGGAGGGACTGAATCGGACCCGGAGATAGGCAGGTCTAAAAAGACACAAGTCAATTTACACCTGCCTGTCCATAGAGATGAAAGAGCCTTCCAATCAACTCTGCTGCATGAAAGGGGCTTAAAATGCCCATTATGCCTAGGGTACCAGGGAAAGACTTTAACCTCTTGCCGACCGCGCATAGCCGAATGACGGCTTCACCGCGGCCGGCCAGTTCTGAGTGGACGTCATATGACGTCCTCCCAGAACGCTCTCTCCTGCGCGCCCCAGGGGGCGCGCACCCGGCGATCTCCGTGATCGCTGTGTCCTACGGACACAGCTGATCACGCGATGTGGTGAAAGGCCGATCCCACCGGCCTTTTACCACGTGATCAGCGGTGTCCAATGACACGCTGATCACAGGGAAATGCAAGTGCCGGTTCTCGGCTGCACTTTCCTCACGCTGTCAGATCGTGAGGAAAGTACTGCCGAGAACCGGCAGTTGTCAGAGCGGGGATCGGCACCGATCATCAGGGCACTGATGATCAGTGCCCTGATGATCGGTGCCCAGCAGTGACACCCGCAAGTTCCGCCCAGCAGTGCGCCCACTAGCCCCGCCCACCCGTTCCCAGCAGTGCCCCCAGCAGTGCCCCCACCTGTGCCATTCTGCAGTGCCACCTACCTGTGCCCAGAAGTGCCACCTACATGTGCCCAGCAGTGCCACCCACCTGTGCCCAGCAGTGCCACCCACCTGTGCCCACCAGTGCCACCCACCTGTGCCCACCAGTGCCACCCACCTGTGCCCACCCACCAGTGCTGCCCACCAGTGCCACCCACCAGTGCAGCCCAGCAGTGCTGCCAGTCAGTGCCACCAGTCATTGCCCAGGGGTTGTGCCAGTCAGTGCCACCAGTCATTGCCCAGGGGTTGTGCCAGTCAGTGCCGCCAGTCAGTGCCCAGAAGTGATGCCAGTCAGTGCTGTCTATCAGTACCCATCATCAGTGTCACCTATCAGTGCCGCCTATCAGTGCTGCATATCAGTGCCGCCTATCCGTGACCCCTAATTAGTGCTGTCTATCAGTGCCGCCTATCCGTGCCACCTCATTAGTACTGCCTATCAGTGCCCTTTAGTGCTGCCTATCAGTGCCCATCAGTGCCGCCTATCAGTGCCCATCAGTGCCGCCTCATCAACGCAAATCAGTGAAGGAGAAAAAATACCTGTTTGAAAAATTTTATAAAAGAAACAAATAAACTTTTTTTTTTTTTTTCAAATTTTTTGCACATTTTTAAATTTAAAGCGCAAAAAGTAAAGCGCCCAGTGGCGATTACATACCACCAAAAGAAAGCTCTATTTGTGAGAAAAAAATGATCAAAATTTCATATGGGTACAATGTTGCATGACCGCGCAATTGTCAATCAAAGTGCGGCAGCGCTGAAAGCTGAAAATTAGCCTGGTAAGGAAGGGGGTATAAGTGCCCGGTAGGCAAGTGGTTAACTGACCTTGCCTCTCACTTCCACAGGCTCTTTCTAAGCTGTTCAACTGGCAGCCTCTTTTTTTAATGCCGGGTAAACATGGGCTGAATTTTGGCCGAAATCAGCCAGAACAGTAAAAACTGGCCAACTTTTAGCCTGTGTGTACATCTTAAAATTTTTTTTAGGAAATCACCAAATCAAAAAATTAGGCATATACAAATTAAAATCACAAAAGCAGCAAACCTCAAACCCCAAATTAGGTATAAAAGCTAAATATGTTGGTTCTAATGGCTGCGAGCACCAATCGATGTGTCCTGATGGGGGTCTCCCCCTGTCAGAACAAAATAGCACGGGTGGGGGGGGGGGGGGGGAGATTGCTGCACTAACATAATTTGTATTCGTATAGCAATCAGTCAGGTTTTGTTTTGATCAGCCCTCTGGGTTAAACAAATGAATAACTTTTATAGTTTCTTCCAGGCTTAAGGTGTCCCGTGAATGGAGGCAGTCATGACATCATCGCATACAATTCAGGGCCAATAGTCCTGCATTGTACATGAGGGCGCTGAAACTGTAGTGTCAGGGAGAGAGTTCAGCGCTGGCTGCTGGAAGAGAGGGATAAGGTAAGTAAAAGTCTTTTTTACAGGTACCCCAGGTAATAGGGAGCTTTTAATCCTTGCAGTGTCTGGGCAGCACCCACTTTAAGGGAGGATTTTTTTATTTTCTCCAAGTACAGCTTTAAAGCAGAATTCCACCCAAAAGTGGAAGCTCCACTTGTTTGCCTCCACTGCCATATTTGGCACTTTTTGGGGGGAAGAGGGAAGTGGATACCTTGTTTTGACAGGTACCCGCTCCCACTTTGCAGCGGCGAACTGAGCCGGAAGTTAAGCCCCCCTCCTTCCTACCACAGTCTTCTGGGACACTTCACAGGTCCCAGAAGACTGCCGGACCAATCAGGATGTGCAGCGACTGACTGACACCCGGCTGTGAAGCCACAAGATGTCACAGCCTGGTGTCCACTGTTGAGATGCTGGGGAGAGGGAGGGAGAGAATGGCCGGTGCGGTTGAGTACATTGCTGCACCCTGGGACAGGTAAGTGTGTGTTTATTAAAAGCTACAGTTTTTGTATCTGCTAACTTTTAATAAACACAAAAGTGACTGGAATGCCACTTAACTCTCTGAACAAATGACCTGCTATTCATACCAGAAGTTCTGATTTTCACTGGCTGCATACTTGTACCGGTTTGGTTATTCAGCAGATATTGAAGTTGAAGGCCATCAGGATAATATAGCATCTCCAGAAAGGGATCAGCAAAAATGATAGCTTACATGATTCATGACAGGTGTTCTTTAAATAGAGACAGCCGGCCTGCATACTGCCTCTGATGGTCACCTTTGACCTTCTCTGTAAATCCCTCTGCTTGCTGCTAACCGAATTACCTGGAACCTGCCTGTTCTCTGCTTATTGTAGGCCTCAGAGTCCCAAGTTCCTAAGTTTTCCTATCTGAAAATGTAGGGCTGGCTTATAGCTTAACCTTTTTCCTTTCACCAGTTTTACCCAATTAAAGCAGAACTCCAGGGAAAACGAGAATGAACCCTTGCAGTAGTCTCCTCCTTCACATGGTAAGGGTTAAATGCTGGTTTTCTCTAGCGGTAGAGGAATAAGCAGAAATAATCGCCTTGCTCTCCTGGGAGCCGGGGTGCTTTCCTGCTCTCCTATGGTCTGGGATGTAGGCAGGGCCCTCAGCAGTCATTGGTCTTGCATTGTACATGAGAATGCCAAAGTGGCCACGAGAAATCTAAAAGCGGCTTCAAGGACCGGTTGTGTGATGAGGAATCTTACAGGAGCGAGAAGCAAGGTAAGTGTTTCTGCTTTTTCCTCTACCCCTAGACCTAGTGATCATATAACCCTTGTAATGGAGGGGGGGACCGCACTGCAAGGGTCATCTTTTTGTTTTCCCTGGAGTTCCACTTGGTTGGTTCTAAGCCAGAAAGTAGCAGAGTGATGTCCTTGACTGGCAAAGGGGTTTCTGTTACAAGAAGGTTAGGCCAAAATTTGGCAGGTTGGTGATAAATCTATGTAAAAATGTAGCGTTTTGCCTAGAATTACACGTTGACATTTTTATTAAATAAAAATTTTGTATAAAAAGTAGTAATAATCGTAAACGTTCTATTTATTACACAGAAATGTAAGTGCATCGATTCTTGAAATTTTAAAGAGGCAAGATAGGTCTGAATCCTACATGATGGTGATGTCATAGATTTTTATGAGGCTTTCCAAAGGCCAAGGAGTTAATCCCGTTAATATGTTGCATAGTCTTGCTGTTCATGTAATGTTTTTGGTTCCTTGCAACATGTATACCTTCCTACAGAGCATAGTGCTGAGTCAGTGGAAAGCAGGAATAAACATAGCCTGTGGTACAGTAATGATGGCAGCCATCCATGTAATAAATTATGTGCATGGACGGAGACAAATGTACGCTAGTCTTGAATTCCCAGAATACAAGCTGTTATTCACCGTATAGATTGAGGGAAGGACAAGGACAGCACAGATGGGAGAAGTTCTTAGCAACGCAAAGCCAACTTCAGAAAATATTCCAAAAATGATGTTTAAAAGTTTCCTCATCCTTAAAATCGTAAGGTTGTGTTATGTGCAGGGGCGGACTGACCATTTGGAAACTCGGGCACTGCCCGGGGTCAGTAGGGGGCCCCATGAGATGCCCCTGGTACCTTTTTCATAGGCTTTTTTGTTTGGGGAAGGACACAGGGGCCCCATGATCCCCTATTGCCCGGGGCCCCATGAGTTGTCAGTCCGCCCCTGGTTATGTGTGTTTTTTCAGTACATTGCATGATGATTCTTTTATCAATAAAAGTCCAAATTTTTAAAGCAGAACTCCGGGCGTAAACTTCTTTATATGTCCTTGTTGCGGATTTCCTACCCTCACTGAATAGATCATCCATCTTCTGGTTAACTCAGTAGTTGCTCTGAAATGGCCTATTCATTTTCAAATCAAGCTGGTAATTCTCTTTGGTTTCCTGTTTGAGACCGGTGGCTGCTATGCCTCCTATTCCCCCAGCCACTGGTCTTGGCACATCCCTTCTGTAGTTCTTTCTCCAGGAAGTAGTGATGTAATTCAGCCCCACTTGCAGTGGTGGGTGGATCGAAACTCTCAGACACATTCAACATGTAAAGGCTTGATGTACCTACCCACATTCAATGTGATTCCCAGAGGTTGATGGAAATTGTGGTTTCCTTTTACTGTGGAGAGAGAGGATACGATGTCATTCCTGCTGTTACTCTTCCTCCCTGGCAGAGCAGATGCCATTATCTTTTGAATTACAGAGATGACTTCCTGAAAATTTAAGTAGAGTTTTCTCTTCATTGGTAAGGAATTTCACATAACGGTTTAGTGTTTTGTGTAGGGTTGTCTACTAATGGGTGATTTATTTTTTTTGCCTATCCCGGAGTTCTTCTTTAAACTGCTTAAAAACATATTTTCTAAGATACCAAACATAATACACCGGAAACCACTTCCGTATCCTTGAAACACCTCTTGGGTC